GGCTCAGTGTTGGTCTCTGCTGATGGCAAATTGGGCACTCAGCAGTGGCCGTAACCAGGTCAGTCTTGGTGAGTGGAAGTTCCTGTTGCTGAGCCCATGAATAACCTCCATCCCTGCCACCATGGCCACTTTGTTCACGGACCTATTGGATGATGGCAGGGGTGGTTGGGGAAAAGGGCTGAGTGGTGTCCATAGAACGAGTCATCCTATCCACTTGATTATTAAAATCTTCCTCTCCTGAGTTCACCCATTGGTGAGCACTCGCATGGGATAAAAATATCTTCACAGTTTTTGACTACTCAGAGAGGTCCATCTACATACCTCTTCCCCAAATTTTATTCTCACCAATTTTCCAATCATGCTTCTTCCAAGTCCCTGACTATCCAGCCAAACCACTGGCTACAGCCCATGAATCATTATATAATCACACATCTAGTCATCTCTCCTTCCATGCAAAGTGCACATCCAGGTGCACTGCTCAAAGTTCTGCCCACTGGGAAGATTTCCCTTCACCACTGCCCTTCAGGGATGTCCTAGAAAGGGGCTGTAGTGCTGCAGCTTTCCACTTTCAGGGGGTGCCTGCATATCATGCAAAACATCTGTGAACCAGGCCCTAGTCTTCTCTTTCTCTGTCAACTGATCATGATCATAGGGAACTCCCCATGAGGCCATTGGTGCAGGCTGGGGGAGAGAAGGCAGGGTGGCAGGAGTGGAGACCATGGGCATTTGAGCCACTTCCTCATGTAACTTATTCCTCAGGTGACTTCAAGACCGGCGAGAGCCTGATCACACATATACCACTTCCACTGGATGATAGAATGCTGCTGTGCACAACCCACTTTATAGCTAGATGGGTCAGAAAGCACTCAGTTCATGATAGGCAGTTCAGGTCACATGGTGACTTGCTGACCCATAGTCAAACGTTCAGTTTCCACTAAAGCCCAGTAACAGGCTAAGAGCTGTCTCTCAAAAGGAGAGTAGTTATCTGCAGAAGATGGCAGGGCCTTGCTCCAAAATCCTAGAGGCCTCCACCGTGAGTCATTTATGGGTCCTGCCAAAGGCTCCAAATAGCATCCCTATCTGCCACTGACCCCTCAAGCACCATTGGATCTGCTGGGTCAATGGCCCAAGTGGCAGAGCAGCTTGCACAGCAGCCTGGACCTGTTGCAGAGCCTTCTCCTGTTCTGGACCCTACTCCTGGTACCAAAATCTATATTAGTCAGAGTTCTCTAGAGGCACGGAACTAATAGGATATAAATATACGTGTGTGTGTGTGTGTGTGTGTGTGTGTGTGTGTGCGTGTGTGTGTGTAGGGCAGTTTATTTATTTATTTTTTTGAGACAGAGTCTTGCTCTGTCACCAGGCTGGAGTGCAGTGGTGCGGTCTTGGCTCACTGTAACCTCCACCTCCCGGGTTCAAGTGATTCTCCTGCCTTAGCCACCCAAGTAGCTGGGACTACAGGTGCGTGCTACCACGTCCAGCTAATTTTTGTATTTTTAGTAGAGATGGGGATTCACCATGTTGGCCAGAATGGTCTCAATCTCTTGATCTTGTGGTCTGCCTGCCTCGGCTTCCCACAGTGCTGGGATTACAGGCGTGAGCCACCGCGCCTGGCCTATTAAGTATTAACTCACATGATCACAAGGTCCCATAATAGGCCATCTGCAAGCTGAGGTGCAAGGAGAGCCAGTCCAAGTCCCCAAACTGAAGAACTTGGAGTCTGATGTTGGAGGGCAGGAGGGGGATAAATGCACAGGGGAAGGATATAGGCTGGCAGGCTAGGCCAGTCTCATCTTTTCAGGTTTTTCTGCCTGTTTTATATTCACTGGCAGCTGATTAGATGGTGCCCAGCCAGATTAAGGGTGGGTCTGCTCTCCCCAGTCCACTGACTCAAATGTTAATGTCCTTTGGCAATACCCTCACAGACACATCCAAGACCAATACTTTGCATCCTTCAATCCAATCAAGTTGACACTCAGTATTAACCATCACAAGCCCTATGAAATAAAAAGTTTTATGACTCCTTTCTTCCCAGAATTACGAATGCCAATTTACTTGCTCTACATTTATACAACTTCAATGACCTGGGGCAGGTAGGTTTGCAATGTTTTGTTACTTCCCCATTGTCCATATCCACTTGTGTCCTTGGCCATGGCCAACTAATTTACAGGTTGAAACATTTCCCAGCACTTTGGAAGGCTGTGTGGTGGGAGGACTGCTTGAGGCGAGGAGTTCAAGACCAACCTGGGCAAAATAGTGAGACCGCTGTCTCTATAAAAAGTAAGATTAGCCAGGTGTGGTGGCACATTCCTGTGGTCCTGGCTACTTGGGTGGCTGAGCCCAGGAGGTTGAGGCTACAGTGAGCCATGATCGTGCTGCTACACTCCAGCCTGGGTGATGGAGCAAGATCTTATCTCAAAAAAACAAAACAAAACAAAACACATTGTACTAGACTGTCTTAGTATTTGAAGCTTGAACAGATACACAGAAAAGACAGAGAAGCCACCTACAACGCATTCTAGAAAGAAGATCATGCTGCTGAGGATCATGGAAGTATCCTGGTTCCCATTGTCAAGCTTAGTTGTTCAGCTCTTCCTTAAGTTATATAAACTATCCCAGAATTCTTCTAAATTCCCCAACCCCTTTAATTTGGTTTAAATTAGCCAAATCAGGTTATTTGTTGCCTATAACGAAAACTTAAGGGAAATAAATTGGTTGGGAGAATGTGTTGTAGCCAGTAGCCTGTCAAGAAAATGTTGCATTTTTAAGTGGTTTTGTCAAGCTGAGAAGGGATGAAGTGAGGGAGACTTATCTGACTTTCAAGATACTTGGCTTTCAAACCATTTGTTTTCACTTCTTGACTGTGTTATCACCATCCTCCCAGGACTTTACACCAGAAATCTGAAGGTCACCACTGATACCATCTTCGCCTCTTTGTTCCTATGTCTAATCATTAGTTACATCTGCCAGGTTCTATACCTTGAGTATGTCTTTTCATTCCCACTATTACTGCCTTAGTTCAGGTTACTGCTTTTCTTACGCATTACATTACTATGGGCTTTTAAATGGCTTCTGTGCCTTTATCTACTCACAAACTATTCACGCTGCAGTCAGAAGTGTTCTTTCTAAGCCGAAATTATTCACTTCCAAAATGAAGATCTAATTATGTTCACAAGTCCTCTCCTTCTTCACCCATTCCCCACTCTAGTGTTAATCTAATACTAGGTTAATCAAGGTAATGGGGTAGAAGGTCATGGGTAACTCCAAATCACACTTTAAATGAACTCTAGTCAAAGTACTGAATACAATGGATATAAACTTGCTTAGAAAAACTACCTCTAATAATTTAGGAATAAATTTGCCTTCTGTGAAAGCCATTCCAAAGTACAAAAATAGTATAATTACAGGTATTTAAGCTCACAAAATATCAAGGTTATGACTGAAAAATTGGCAAAGGTTTTTTGTTTCGCCTCTTAGTTTGAGCTCTGTGTAACAAATGGAAATAGAAGCACACAAATTCAAGAAAAGGGACTCTAACAGACTGAGGATATTGTGGCTTTCAAAAAGGAGAGAACATTTTAGATGATACGAAGAAAATGTCACCCCATTACTCAGAATTCACTCTATTCGACAGATATATACACCCCTCAGCAAGTGTTCCTAAGGATGAGAGGAGAGTAAGTTTTTCCATCTATCTCTATCAACACTCTTCCTAAAATACCTAATGCCTAACAAGTCTAAAGAACACACTGACTACTCATACCTCCCATAGGCAGAGACCTTGTCCTTTTTGTCCTGCTGTATCTCAGGTAACCAGCAGTCACTGAGCGGATGCTAATACATTTGCAAATTCCTCTGGAGCCTCTAAAGACCGTATCATGAATCATCAATTCAAATGCCTATAGGAGTAGGGCAGGTGATATGATTGAGTAAACAGAGTCATTTTAGGGCCTATAACAAAGGGGAGAGAGGCCAGGAGCGGTGGCTCACGCCTGTAATCCTAGCACTTTGGGAGGCCAAGGTGGGCCAATCATTTGAGGTCAGGAGCTCGAGACCAGCCTGACCAACATGGTGAAACCCCGTCTCTACTAAAAATACAAGAAAATTAGCCGGGCGTGGTGGTGCATGCCTGTAGTCCCAGCTACTTAGGAGGCTGAGGGAGGAGAATCGCTTGAACCCAGGAGGCGGAGGTTACAATGAGCCGAGATCCGCGCCACTGCACTCCAGCGTGGGCAACAGCGAGACTCCGTCTCAAAAAACAAAACAAAAACAAAGGGGAGCCTACAACTACATAAGCCATCTCCAGGCTAGTTTCTTTAAGGAGTCTTCATATAATAATCTCCTCAGGGTCCTGTTTTATCCCTACAAAATACAAAACAGTTCCTCGTGTCTTCCTTCAAATATACTACAGTCTTTTAGCTCATCAGGGTAGCTGAGTTAATCCAAGGCGTAATCCCAAAAGCGAAACTGAATGTCAGAATCGATCTCATCTCAACACTCATTCCAGAAGTAAAAACTTCTTCTGCAAGTTCAGCTTTTGACTAGGAATTCTTCAGCGCGACTTTTGCAGAGAGCTCTGTTCCAAGAAGCTGGCGGCTTAACACAAACTATCTACTCATGCACAAGGTGAGGCTGGCTTGGGTCCAGATTCGGCGGTAGAGTGGAAAAGTTACGCGGGCCGACTTTAACCACAAAGGTAATTTCTGCCCAGGGCTAGCGTTCCCAGAGGGGCCCGAGGGCGCGCCAGGCTCGGGTGCAGGGGCAAGAAGACCCAGAGCTAAGCACCCTCTGAGGGCCCGCCGAGGAGAGGGCGGGCTCAGGGCTCAGAGACCCTCCCAGCTCGGAGCCAGCGCTGGAACACGATAGCGCGAGGAGAAACCCCTAGAGACGGCGAAAAGGCTAACGTAGCGGATGACGCTGCCCAGACGTTAGGCGCCGACGGGAGCCTGATTGTCACCGTAGGACCAGTGAGGGGGCGGGGCGGAGCTGTGCCTCAAAGCGCCTGCGCGGAGAGCCCCCTCTCAGGGACCAGGCTGGGAGGCGAGGAAAAGGAACGTGGGGCGCGGGAGGCCGACTGCATACGCAGGCGCACTCGGCGATCCCGGCTTTTCGGCGCACCAGTTCCAGCACAGGCCTTGGGGCGGGGCCTCGGGTGCAGGGGCGGGGCCGGGGCGGGGATAAATGCGGAGGGACTGTCCGGCTTTCGCTCTCAGCTCGCAGCCGCCGCAGTCGCCGCCACCTCCTCTGATCTACTAAAGTCATGTTACCCAACACCGGGTAAGGGGGTCGGGGCGGCGCGGGGAGAGACCCGGTCGGGCGAAGGGCGCGTCTCGGGGGGGCCGCCGCTAATCGCCCGGGCTGGCCGGCCCGGCGGTGGGAAGTCAAGGATGCTGCCTGGGCACGCTCTAAGCTCTGGTCCGCGTTGGGCGCTGTGCACCGAGAATCTGCGGTAACGCGTGAAAAGGAACACAAAGTTTTGTGTTACAGGGTGGCAGCAGTGTAGAAACCTCTTCCACTGGTAAAGGGCCAAGGGTAAGTCACTCTGCCGCCCGCAGTGCTGGCCCTCCCTGAATTTAGCAGGAGTGCATGCCTGGCCGAATGCGTACGAGTTCTAGGTGAAAGGTCGCAGGAGCAGCTCCAGAGTTTAAATGTAGAGTTTTCACTGTTCCTGACGCTCAATTCTAGAGTAATAATGGAGTGTTTAAAAACTGATTTCCAAATTAGAAACAAATTAAACCGATCTTAAAACATAGGTATCTTTTAGGGATTTTTTTCACCTTAAAAAATTGTGTTAAAATACGTATAAAATTTGCCATCTTAACCATTTTTTAAGTGTACACTTTAGTAGTGTTAAGTAGATTCATATCGTTGTGCAGTCAATCTCCAGAACTTTTTTCATCTGCAAGCTGAAACTCTACCCATTAAACAACCCCTCTTCCCCACCTCCGCTCATCCATTGGCAACCACCATTCTACTTTCTGGTTTATGTAAGGTCTGGGTATCTTGAGTTGAGTGACGTGTTGTCAGATTTTGTGATTTGCCTGAAACATGCAGGCATATAGCCAAAGACTTAAAACAGTTCAAAGAATATAGGGTAAAAAGTGAGTCTCCCCATCCGTAAAATCTAGTCCCCCAGTTACTTATGTTATGTTTCTGTTTCGTGCATGTATAAACATATTTTGTATACATCCAGACCCCCCCCACACACAGGTACACAGACACACACACCCTTTCTTAAAAGTAGCAGCAAACTCTATTCTTGGTCTTGCTACTTTTAGTTGGTATGTCTTGGGACATTCTTTTTTTTTTTTTTTTTAAAGACAAGGTCTCCCATGTTGCCCAGACTGGCCTCTAGCCTCGAACCCCCAGGCTGATGTTCCTTCCTTCTTAGTCTCTGGAGTACTTGGGATTACAGGCATGCACCACTGTGCCCAGGAACAAACATTTTTGGTACATGCAGATCTTCCGCCTCCTTTTTTTTTTTTCTTTTGAGACAGAGTATCGCTCTTCTCCCAGGCTGAAGTGAAGTGGCGTGATCTCGGCTCACTGCAACCTCCGCCTCCTGGGTTCAAGCGATTCTCCTGCCTCAGCCTCCCTAGTAGCTGGGACTACAGGCGCGTGCCACCACGCCATGTTAATTTTTTGGTATTTTTAGTAGAGACGGGGTTTCACCATGTTAGCCAGGATGGTCTCGATTTCCTGACCTCGTGATCCGTCCGCCTCGGCCTCCCAAAGTGCTGGGATTACAGGTGTAAGCCACCGCGCCTGGCCCCTCCTCCTTTTTTTTTTTTTTTTTCGAGACAAGAGTCTCACTCTGTCGCCCAGGCTGGAGTGCAGTGGCGCCATCTCGGCTCACTGCAAGCTCCGCCTCCCGGGTTCAAGCCATTCTCCTGCCTCAGCCTCCCGAGAAGCTGGGACTACAGGCACCTGCCACCACGCCAGGCTAATTTTTTTGTATTTTTAGTAGAGACGGGGTTTCACCGTGTTCACCAGGAAGGTCTCCATCTCCTGACCTCGTGATCCGCCCACCTGGGCCTCCCAAAGTGCTGGGATTACAGGCGTGAGCCACCATGCCCGGCTACCCCTCCTCCTTTTTAATGGTTGCGTAATATTCTGTAACAGCCTGAGTATCCATTATGCAAAATGCTTGGTTCCAGAAGTGTTTTGGATTTCAGATTTGGTTTGCTCAACCTGTATATGAATATACCTTTGTTTATTTAACCTGTTCCCTATTGTTGGATACTAGACTGTTTCCAGTTTTTTGGATACTCTTTTTGCTTCCATGATTATACTTATATTTCTCTATTTGCATATATGTAAGTGTATATGTAGGGATAAACTCCTGGAAGTGAAATTGCTGGATCGAAGAGTAGATGTGGCTGACACAGTGGCTCACGCCTGTAGTCCCAGTACTTTGGGAGGCCGAGGTGGGTGGATCACTTGAGGTCAAGAGTTCGAGACCAGCCTGGCCAACATGGTGAAACCCTGTCTCCACTAAAACTACAAAATTACAAAAATTACAGATACAAAAATTAGCTGGGCCTGGTGGCGGGCACCTGTAATCCCAGCTACTCAGGAGGCTGAGGCAGGAGAACCGCTTGAACCTGGGAGGTGGAGATGGCAGTAAACCAAGATCATGCCACTGCCCTGCCCTCCACCCTGGGTGAAAGAGTGAGACTCTGTCTCAAAAAGAAAAAAGAGTAAATGCACTTTATATTTTGGTAGATATTGCCAGATGACCCTCCAGAAGGGTTGCACACCCAAAAGGATAAATGAGACCCCCTAATCCCACATGCTGGCTAACTGCAAAATAGTTAATGATGAAAATCTAATTAGAGAAAAAAGTGTCACCTCATTATTGTTAAATTTTGCATTTATTTTATCACAAGTGTGGATTTTGATCTCTTTGTATATTTAAACCAGGGACAATTTGATCCCCAGAGGACATTTGGTAATATCTGAGGACATTTTTGATAGTCACAATTGAACGGGGATGCTAATGCCATCTTGTGAGTAGAGTACAGGGATGCTGGTACACATCCTACAATGCACAAGCATTCCCTACAACAAATAATTATGTAGTCCAAGAGGTCAGTCGTGCAGAGGTTGAGAAACCCTGGTTTAAAGCCATCTATGTATCTTTATATTTGTCTGGCTTAACAAACGGGGTTTTTGATTAATCTCTGAGGGCTCTGTGTATTTTAAAAATTTGTCTTTTATCATGTTACAAATATTTTCCAGTTTTTCATGTTGCATCTGGACTTTGATTATACTGTTTATTTAACATGGAGAAATGTGTTTTTGTAAAGCGAGAGTTATCAGTCTCTTAAGGCTTTTGCATTTTTGTGAGAAGCCTTTGAGTTAAACCAAGATCTTTCTTTCTTTCTTTCTCTTTTTTTTTTTTTTTAGATGGAGGCTTGCTCTGTTGCCCAGGCTTGAGTGCAGTGGTGCGATCTTGTTTCACTGCATCCTCTGCCTCCCAGGTTCAAGTGATTCTCCTGCCTCAGCCTCCCAGGTTCAAGTGATTCTCCTGCCTCAGCCTCCCAGGTTCAAGTGATTCTCCTGCCGCAGCCTCCCAAGTAGCTGGGATTACAGGCGCACAACGCCATGCCTGGCTAATTTTTATATTTTTAGTAGAGTCGGGGTTTCACCATGTTGGCCAGGTTGGTCTCAAACTCCAGACCTCAAGTAATCATCCTGACTCGGCCTCCCAAAATGCTAGGATTATAGGTGTGAACCACTGTGCCTGGGCAGATCTTTCTATAATTAGTTTCCTTCTAATATTTTTATGGTTTTATATGTTTATATTTTTCAAATATATTTCTATTGTATGTATTTTTTGTACTCAGATATTTTTTTATCCCCTTGGGATTTGTTTCAGGAAGTGAGTTAGGAAGCCTACTTGATTTTTCTTCAGGTGGCTGCTCAGTTGTCCTAGCAGCATTGACTTAATAGTTAATCTTTTTTCTTCCGTTCGAAATTCTACCTCTGTCGTACATTAAATTCTTGTACATGTAGAGGTCTGTTTCTGGACTTTCTGCTCTGCTACTTTAGTCTGTATTCATGTACCAGTACCAAACTGTTTAATTAATTAATTAATTGAGACAGGGTCTCACTCTGTCACCCAGGCTGGGGCGCATTGGCACTATCATAGGTCACTGCAGCCTTGATCTCCTGGGCTTAAGCAGTCCTCCCAGCTCATCTTCACAATTAGCTGGGACTAGAGACATGCACCATAATGCCTGGCTATTTAAAACAAATTTTTTTGTAGAGGGGTCTCACTTTGTGGCCCAGGCTGGTCTCAAACTCCTGGGCTCAAGTGATCCTCCGGCCTCAGCCCCCGAAGTGCTAGGATTACAGATGTGAGCCACTCTACCCAGCCCAAACTATTTTAATTGTTTTAGTTTTATAAAATGTTTTAATATGTGGGAAAGCTAGTTCCCACCACATTTGGATTATTTTTCAGAATTTTCCTGGTTATACTTGGGTATTTATTTTTCCAAATGAACTTTAGAATAATTTGTATAGTTTTTTGGAAACAATTGTTCTTCCTTTTTAAAACAGTTAACAAAAATTTCAGCACTTTTACCTGATTTTGGGGTACCAGAGAATTTTAGTAAATCAAACTGTAAGTTAGCTCTGCATTAATAAGTTTTAGCCATCTATCAATAATACTAAGAAATTTGGAGCCTTCTTTGAAGTGCTCTTGCCTTCTATATTCTGGTACTAATGCTTTGGAGCTGGAGGGCTTCCTTACTGGCACAGATCAGGGTTATGTTTGCTTTTTTTTCTGCCAATGCCAAAGACTCTGAGTGAGGAAGAAAATGCCCTTTCTCCTACTGGGAATCAATCCAGCTATACTCAAGGCAAAGAGATACGGCTTTTTCACAGCAATAGTTGGGACATTTTCTTGTAAATACTTATATTAAAAATCACTTTAACCTGTGGTCCCAGCTACTTGGGAGGCTGAGGTGAGAGAATCACTTGAGTCCAGGAGGTTGAGGCTGCCGTGAGCTGTTGAGGCTGTTATGGTAAACTGAGGACCAGAGAGACCGATATTGGGAAGACAGGAGGATGTTTATTTAAGGTACGCACCGGCTCCGTGGATTCACGTCCAAAAAGCTGAGCCTTGAACAAAAGCAGATTTTAGCTTATACAGACCAGCATACAAGAGCAAAACAAAGGCAGTAAATTTTACAGTGACAAGTCACGTAATCCATAGCATAACTGCTGACCTGGCACTAACCTGTGGCCTTGCATAGCTAGTGGCCTAGCAG